CAATGATGCACTGGGGTGCTTGGAACAAAATGGACAAAGAGGAGATGGAAAAGAAAGAGTGGAGGTTTTGTAACATGCATACTACTTAAGGGAAGAATGGCATATTGCAAATTTTAATTTGAGAAAACAGAAGTGTTTCATACACCATTTCCTTCAAATAAAAAATTATTTAAATAGGTGGATTTTTCTCACATTGTAAGAAAATCATAGTGTCACTCTTAACTTCTTAATTGGAAATACTCTGAGTTAATTTCTGGGCTCTAGACACCAAATGATAGACACCAATTGACAAATAAAACAATTTTGAAAACCTGAAACCATCAATCCTGTTTTCTCCCCTTGTGTTTCCTTTCTGGTCTCCCCCCAGAGAGCATTATAATTCTCCTTAAGGACTGTGGCCAGTGATGGCAATGTGGATCTAAACTTCTCTTTGACTACGGAATGAGCTATTATACTACATGGTAGCCACATTTTGTTCTGAGGACTTACTTGTGTTTTCTAAATTTTTGTGAATGTAGAGTTTGTGCCTGTGGTGGGTATTTGTCATTCACTGTAGCTGGCACTTGAATGATCTTCCTGTGTTTGATCAATTTTCCTTTTCGTGGGGCGTCTACTTCTCCCCCAAGAAAAGCCATAAAAATCACCTTCCTACCTAATTAATCAGCTTCTATACCATGACAAAAACTCCAAATCTCAGGGGCATACAACAAATGTTTTCACTCACACATCATGCCCTTGGCTGCAGATAGGCTGCTAGGATCCCAGTCTACATGTCTTCTCATGCAGGACTCAAGCTGAAGCAGGAGCCTCTCTTTGTGATATGCCTTTATTGTGACAATGAGAAAACAACAAAAGGTGGTACAAACATACAATGTCTCTTAGAGCTTCTGTATGGAACTGACACACTTCCCTCCATTCCTATTTCAATAACCCAAGATGGTCATATAGCCAAGTCTCATAATGTCTTAGAAAGCATTTTCCAGCTGTTGGGAAGCACTGTGGGTCATGAGGCAATGGATGAGATTGTATGCTCCCCTCACAAAAAGGGAGAAAATAGATGGGAATAATCACCCACCATGGGAGAAGGCATTTTGTCTAAGTGCTGTCAATCATGCACACCTGCAGGAAGACAATTCAGAAGCTAGGAATATAAAAGCAAATATGCCACTTTGAATCATTCTGTTGAAGAGTGCTGACAGAAGAGTAAATCCTCCAGAGGTATCAGAGGCAGAGATTCTAGTGTCAGTCTCTGCACCCAGGTTTAGAAGTGAGATCCGAGTTATCTATGCTCAATGGAGGCAGTAGTGATAGCTCCATCAGAGTGGACCTATGGGGTAATTTGATGATGTTCCTGCATACATCATACATCATCAGTGGACTACCAAATATTCTTTAATAAGTCCTTTTTGTGCTTAAAATAGGTTTCTGGTGTTTTCAACTCTTGTTTTTAGTAGGTATTTTGATTGACTGGCTCTTCCCTCGGTTGTCTGCTATTCACATGGCAATGAGTTACGCCAAATCCCTACAAACACATTTTATACTCGATAAGAAGATTATATAATTTAGTATTTTCCACTATTGACAATATGCCTTCTTTTCCAGTACCTTCTGAACAATTATATAGCTGGCCACAAAACAGTTTCCCAAAGGATAAGTTACAATGGTATTTTTAAAACTCTTATTGCGTCGTGGTTATAAAATGCTAACAAACCTAAATAAATTATATATATAGAGAGAGAGAGAATTTCAGTTAAATTAAGTAATTTCAGGAGAAAACCAAATTTAAAACTGTGCTTACATTTATTTAATAACAAATGATAATTAAAGCACCATGATGATTTATGGTATATAGCCTGACTTATATTTAGGGAAAACTTTACACTCCTCAGTCAATGCAAGAAGAAAGAAAAATAAGATAATAAATATAACTAAAATAAATCAAGAAAAAATAATACAGATAAAATCAGAAAAAAAGTGAAATAACAAGTTAACAGGTTCTTTGAAAGGAACAATCAACTAGACAGATCTTTGGAAAGAAAGATATGTAGCTCAGAAAAAAAAAATAAAGTAGCGGTAAATATAAAATATCAGGGATTAGAATCAAGGAAAAAACTCAGAAGTAGAGACAAATAAAAATAAAAATAATTATTTGTGTAATTGTTCATAACTATGAAGACACTGACACTTTGAGAATTGTAACTTACTGAAACAGATTTGACATTTAAAGAACTTGAATTAGATATCAAATACAAGAACTTACAAAGCTACTTCTTGTTTTAATCTAATATAACTCTGATATCAAAACCAATAACAATATTTGGCTTGTTCTGCTTCCCACTGTACAAAGGTCTTGCTGTTAGTTGTGTGTAACTATTAACAATTGCTATTGTAATATACATCTATATTCTGATATATACCTTGTTATTTAGTTATTTTTATGTCTGTCTCAGGCACACACACACACACACACACACACACGTATGTTGTCATTTTCCTGTCCATGGCATCTCACACTGAAACTGCCCCACCAAATCCTTGCTAGATCTTCCTGTTACTGTTCCTTGCATCTGCTTCTGAAATTATTCTCTTTTCTCTTCCTGCTTCTCAATTTCTTGGAACACTTAAACCCTAATATACAATCTAGGTGACAGCCTCAACCCAGAAGCACTTTCAGAAAGGCTCTCCACCACCTCCAGACAGAATGCTGTGTTTTAATTTCTAGACTCATCACCCTTTCCAATCCCTGACTTCCTTCCTCTGCCAAAGTGAAAGTGGTAACAAAGTCCTGCAGATTTGCCCCTCTAGGCAGGAATTTCCTCTCTCTTAGCCAAGGCTAGCACTGAGCAGATAGGGAAGGGAGGCCCTAACTCCTCCTGCTTGGACTCCTGGGAGATGTCAGTTTTGCCTTCTGGAAACTGAAAACAATCTGGAATAGCGGAAACAGGAGGTATTAACTCCTTCATAAGAGGTCCAGTAGGAGACTTTCAAGGTGGAGTGGGGTATCTATCCATGGTCTAGGCTGTACTCCTACCCTCCTCCTTCCACCCCTAGCAGGTTCTCCTGATGACTGACATGCCACTAACACAGGCAGCTATTTCTTCCCCTTTAAAGCCTTCAAGCCTAAGATTATATTCTTCAAGCCTAAGATTGTACAGAACTAATTGAGGGTGTGGCTCGTACTTCCTCAGAAAGAGTAAGAGAAGAAAATAAATTAGGAGTCTCTAAGCAAGCATGTTGCATGACATGCAATATAGTCAGTCTCTGGTCTCTTTCCAGAATATCAGACCTCAGATTTCTACTAACTCCCTAACTCTTCCTTAGTCCTATTTATTCAGTGCCTATATCTCTTTCCCTGTTCCCCAAACAGTTCTCAGTTCTTGCTTCTCCTGTGATGCTACTCCTCCCCTACAGCACAGATGGGCACCATCCTACAGTCAGCCACTCATCTTGTTGTCCTGTTCTATCTTGGATTCAGGGAAGAGGGTTGGGGTCTGCAGCTACAGCTGTGGAATTTGTCCAAGACAGAGCCTCACCTGGACACACCTGTCTCACAGCAAACAAATAAACAAACAAAACACTCTGAAGATATCTGTAAAGGAAAGCTTCTATGCCTTGGAAGTAAACTGATCTGTCTTCAAAAGCCCTCTCTCCAGCCTTCCCCGCATGAATACAAGCCCCCGCCCCCAATTACCCTGATTGCCAGGGTTCTTGACAATCGGTCATAGTTACAAATTTCACCTTACACATGAAAATGATCTTCCCATTAACTGTTTTAACTTCACAGAGATTCCAGAGCACTACAACCAACTTGACCTTCAGCTTCTTAAAGGCAGAGACTATATGTACCATAGTTGTTATCCCAGCACCCAGTATAATATTGTCAAAAAATTGATGTTAAATAAATGTTTAAAATGGCTTATTTCAATTAATTAATTCATTATTCTATTAGAGCAGCCATTTCTCCAAAACTGGGTGGGACAGACTGTCTGTTCAGCTCAGACCTAAGATACTTTTGTCTTTTCTCATAGCCCTATGTGTTGCAGGAAATTTCTGGGCCTCACCCTTCAGAATTTTAACCATGGCCTGCGCTCAGACACTGGCATGAGCATTCTGGAGTCTCTGTCCTAACAATTAAGATATTATATAATTTGGAACCGAGCTTCAATTGGAGGATTTCCTGGTTATTTTCTACGTAGATAGGAGGTGCCTTCACTTGCTTATTAAAACCTAAGTGTCAAGAGAAGGACAAGGCCCTGGGAGTACAAAGAAAAACCCAAATCGCTGTCTTAAGTAACAATTTTTGTGTGTGCGTGCATGTGTCTATATGTTTGGGTGAGGAAGGGATACCAGTTGTTTAATTTTTTTCTTCTTGTTTTAATGACAATTTTTGACCAGGGATTCAATTTCTCCATCAACTCCCGGTCTCTGTTGTCTGTTTTTACCTTTTAAAGTGGATTGCGGCAATAGTGATGACAAGCTGGTTACTTAAGTATTGAAGTGTAAGAGTATGCCAGGAAAAAAGAGAGGGTTTTGTTTGTTTAAGAACCCAGTACTTGCAGCCTGGAACCATGAGAGGTCGCGAATATTGCCAGGAACAGCAGAGTCCACACCATATGTGTTCCCAACCCTATGCTAAGCTGGGTCACAGAATGAGACGTGGCCAATCTCAGGCTTCTGAGTTTAACAAGATAAACTGGCAAATGAATAGCCACCTGAGTCTCTCAATGCACAGCCTGAGGGGCATCATTCGGGAGCCTCAATCCTTTGACCTATCCTGGAACTAACTTCTGGAACCCTCTACAGTTTAAGGGAATCTTGAGTGGGTGAAGGGACCAGAAAAACCCAGGAAGTAGAGAAAAAGCATTGACATGCCTAGAAGCGCCGGAACCCCCGTCTCATCACCAATTGGCTAGGGTTACCCTGGTCACTGCCTGTGATTGGCTGCCCCCACAAACACACCGCCCCCTGGGCGAAGCCATCCTGGGCCCAGCAGGCCGCTCATTGGCTGCCGTCCTGCGACCGGGGCCTGGAGCCGGGTGTGGTATCCTAGGAGCTGCGGGCTACCGGGCCTGCACTGCCGGGCTTTGGGCTCTGGGCCTCCGGCGCTCTCTGGCCCTAAGTGCTGAGCTGCTGGGAGCGGCCGCTTCTGACGCTGGGCCACTGGACGCTGCGGAACCGGGCTTCTTCACTTTGAATTTCCGCCGCGAAGCGCCAGTCCGGGCCCAGGAGGGAGGTGGGTAGAGAACTCTGCCTTTTCTGAAGTCAGATCCTGCAAGCTCACTTTACCCCGACCTGCCCGCTGTCCTGGGGACCTGCCCAAAGCCCTGTGGCGAGGCCAGGAGCTTACTGTCCCCAGCTGCTCCCTGACTCCGGAGATTACCGCCCGCCCCTCTACCCCCTTCCCACTGGGGTCCTCCCTGGAAGTCTTCCAGGCCCCGCCCCCTTCTCAAATGCCCTTCTCAGACTCTCACTGTACCCTACGGAAGGCACAGTCAAAGCAACCGAACGTTTAATTATTTGAATTTTCTCAAAGTAATTCATATATAATAAAAAGTCAAACATTGAAGCTGGTCTTATTTTGAAGAGCAGTGCCTACCCATCCCCAGATCTTTGCAGAGGCTGCCACTTTTAATTTTTCCCCATTTAGATGTTTTTATCACCCTAAATCAAAATAATGTGCGTTCCTCTGTATTTCTGGATTTATCATTTTGATATTTCTTTGCCTTACTTTCCTACTGCCCCAATCTTGTCAATTTTCTGTCGCTATTTTAGGTCTTCCATTTGTAGCTTCAAATAATAGGTATCAATTTCCATTTATTGTTCTATTGACTTTAGATGGTGTCTCTTAATGCCTTAGCTAAGGATATTAACACATCCTCCACTTAGTCAATCTATCAGTTGGAACTCAGCATTTACATTTAGTTTTCACGTATTCAACAGGTATTTGAGGCACTGTTCTTGGTATTGGGGAAATAGAAATGAACAAAACAGACAATGACCCTATCTGCATGAAAAAGTTCTAGTATGGGAAGTAAGACAATAGACAAATACATGGCAAATGACGTCAAAAGCAGGATCATGCAGAAGTCATTTTCAACTGGGAGAACAGCAGGAACCCAAGTCAGGTAGATTTAATGGACGAGGAGTTTGCAGGAGTGTGCGGAAGTTTATTCCTTTGCCTAACTGGACACAGGTGCTGTTTCAAGGAGAGGTCTTGTTAACCGGGAGCCAGGATAGAGTCTTTAGTAAGTTAGTGATTTACCAAAAGGAGGTTTTAGGATACTGGATCCCACAGTTTGGTAGTGATAGTGAGAGGAAGAAAAGCAGAGGCAGAGAATCTAGTGAGAAGGCACACGCTGCCAGTGGCATATCAGAGTCCTGCAAAATTTACTGCCCTGCTTCCTGCTTCCTGCTACTGGACTGCCCTAAATCATAGTGATTTTTCTCTCTCCTTTTGAATTTGTATTATACCTTAAAGCTAAAGAGGTTAAGAAATTTGCCCAAGATAGATGGCAGAGCCCCAAGCCAAACATCTGTAAAATGAGAACAATAATGGTCTCTGCCTAGGGTTGTGAAATAAACCAACTTAATTCATGTAAAGTGCTCAGAACAGTGCTTGGCACATCATATAAGTGCTCAAAGAGTGCTTGCTTTTATTATTAATGTATGCTCTCAATTTACCTCACAAATTCTAAAAGGATTTTGGGTTTAGGAACTATTTTCTATGTCTAGCTGGTTTATTCATTCAACAAATATTTATTTACTCAGCAATATCTGCATTGCATGTGCTATTTAGGTGCTGAGGATACAACAGGAACTAGGACCAACATGGCCCTTCCTTGTATAGACTCTAGCTGGTAACACAAGCTAGCAAAGTGAATGAATAAATATTGCCAACTGAGCCAAGAGCCTGCCATTAACCATGACCATTTTGTCATGCCCATACGTGGCCCTGACAAAAATCTCAGATTTCTTGCTGGAGTAGTGATTTCATCAATATGGGTGTGATGATCATCAAATGATCTTTGTTTTAATCTCCAAGGGATGTTATTTCATCTCTGCTTGTAACATACCACTAAAAGCTCAGAAGAATGTCTTGGCATCTTGGTGAATAATAAGTACATTAGTGCTGGAGCAGTGGGCAGGAGTTTAAAAGGCACAGGAAAAGAACTGCTGTTTCCTTTACAGTTTTTAACATTTTAGTGTGCAACACAAGAAAACAAATTGAGCGTGTAGGCAATGGGCTTCTGGCATACTACCTTTTGACACTTTGAATTGTATAAATGTAAATATAAAGATACTAGAGAGTGAGGCTGGAGGTATTTATGGCCTTACTTCAGATACTGAAATACCACATTTTATGTGAACTTACCCAAGTTTAAGAGAAATAATGCTGATTTGTAGAGCATGATTGGAATGGTAATGGTCTAGTAGAACGAACCCAGAGGAGAATCAGAGTTGGCCAAGTGAATGAAGATTGAGGACTCCCAGTATTCACTCACTTAGACATCCCCATTATCCCCTTCATGATGTGAGTAATGTGACCCATTCAGACCATGCACCCTTCAGTTGGAAAGACGAATGCTTACTAAAGAAGGTCAGTAAAGGGTCAAAAGGAAGGTGGTTTTTCCCCAGAAATTAATTATTCCTGTTACTGATCTCTCTGTTCCTCTGTTACCTTTTTCTCTTATTTGTCTTTCTTTTCTTCTCAGCCTTTACCACTTCTCCCTGATTTCATTCATGTTCTGAGGAGGGTGTGAGAAGGAACCATGGATCCCACAGCCTTGGTGGAAGCCATCGTGGAAGAAGTGGCCTGTCCCATCTGTATGACCTTCCTGAGGGAGCCTGTGAGCATTGACTGTGGCCATAGCTTCTGCCACAGCTGCCTCTCCGGACTCTGGGAGATCCCAGGAGAATCCCAGAACTGGGGTTACACCTGTCCCCTCTGTCGAGCTCCTGTCCAGCCAAGGAACCTGCGGCCTAATTGGCAGCTGGCCAATGTTGTAGAAAAAGTCCGTCTGCTAAGGCTACATCCAGGAATGGGGCTGAAGGGTGATCTGTGTGAGTGCCATGGGGAAAAGCTGAAGATGTTCTGCAAAGAGGATGTCCTGATAATGTGTGAGGCCTGCAGCCAGTCCCCAGAGCATGAGGCCCACAGTGTTGTGCCAATGGAGGATGTTGCCTGGGAGTACAAGGTGAGAGATGGAAGCTGGCCACTCCAGTCTTCCAACTTGGCTATTACTAGATCAAGGGCTTGACCACCAGCATCACAGACTGCGAGCTGATTCCTTTGGTTCCTGACACCCACAGATCCTGGAATCTGATACAGGGAGCTATACTTTTCCTTGTATTCATGACCTTCCTTGATTTCCTGCCCTCCCACTTCCTCTACACGCCATCCCAGATCTTAACATGGCTCAATGCCTAACCCAAGGCTGATTTCAATACTGAGAATGTAAAGGAAATCAGTTTGGGTTTTAACTAGATTCTGAATGCCTTGGATGAGTTTAGGCATGAAGCTCTTGTATAGATGGTCAAGGCTACACCTGACCTGCAAACTCCGCCTGGCAATGCTGCAAGTAGTCATTTGGCATTGAATGGATCACTTACTCCTTCATTTTATAGACAAAAGTGAGGCTTAGAAAGTTGAAAACATGGTAATTTATTTTAGAGGGGGAAAGAACTATGGATGAATCACAGGAGTGAGAGAGGTCATCTAATCTTCTCAGGTCCTTTATGACTTCAGGTCCAGTTAGCGAAAGGAAGATCAGAGGCTGTGACTCAAGTCTTCTTGCTCTTTCTCCTCTCCCAAGTTTGTTTATTTGACAAGTCATCTCTGACAAACCTGGGACTCCTTTTTTGTACCTTACCTCATCAACTTCCAGCTTCTGGGCTTCTCTTTACTCTTCCTCAGATGCCCATAATGACACCTTTATCGGAACCATTATCTCAGTGATTCTGTGATCCAGTGATCCAGCATTGGTCTTAATTCTGTTTTTTGGAGTTGAAATAGGAAGGTGAGAGTGTAAGACAAATATCCTGAATAGCTTTTTTCCTATATGGGAGGGATTTCTAAAATATGAAAAGTGTTTACTAACTCATTCTGTTTTTGAGAATATTAGAAAAGGGAGATAGTATAACACAGGGGTAAAGGGCTGGATTAAATCCCAGCCCAACCATTTATTACCTGAATGACTTTGGGTAGGTCACCCTCTAAGCCTCAGTTTTCTTGTCTATAAAATGAGGTTAATACCAGGCTCAGGGGATTGTAAATATCACATCCATATTTAGAGCTTAAAATATACCTGGCATTTGATAAATTTTAACAAAATAATTGCTATTTTGTTAAAATAGCAGAATTAAATGGTGTGTCTGCACACTTTATGCTTTTCAGTAGAAATCCCTTGCATTACTATTCTAGGAAAGTGCTTCTTACCCTTAATATGCATATGAACCACCTGGGAGATCTGGCTAAAATTGAGATTCTCATTTGGTAGGTCTAAGGGGAGGCCAAGATTCTGCATTTCTAACAAGCTCCTAGGTGATGTGGATGCTGCTGATCCACTTGAACCACATTTGGAGTAACAAGGTTCTGGCAGACAGCAAGATAAAAATAAATAAGGATAAAAATTGACATGGAAAGGAAAGTCCAAGGTACTTTTCTGGAGAGGCTGGAAATGGACCTTTTCTTCCAGTTTACAGACCTTTAGAAACTGTGGGAGTTGAAATTATTCTCGGCCCAGCGAGCTACCTTGGATGTCATCTGGGCAGAGTCTACTTCCTCTGTCGCACTCCCTTTCCCCACAGCCTTCACTGTGGCCAGTTGCCTGAAGGACTCTGGTTCTCCCACAGCCTCCCAATGCTAGGAAGCCTAGGCTGCCGGAGGTGGCCTCATGAGGGTTTTGTCTCTTGCAGTGGGAACTTCATGAGGCCCTCGAACATCTGAAGAAAGAGCAAGAAGAGGCCTGGAAGCTGGAAGTTGGTGAAAGGAAACGAACTGCCACCTGGAAGGCAGGTTGCCTCGTGGGGAAAAGAGTTTGTGTCAGTCGTCCTGTGTGGTCCTGGAGCTGGCCTGGGGTAGCATTCTTATCTCTGTGAGGCAGAATGTAAGGCTTGAAATCACAGAGCCTGGGGTTCTAATCCCTGCTTTCTCTGTCCCAGGCCTTAGGTAGGCCATGTCACCTCTTAATTCCAATTTCTCCTTGGTGATGTAGGGATAACCTCTGGTCTTGTATCCTCATATATGAGAAAGGGAAAGCACGTGCTCACGTGTGTCAGCTCACAACGGTGTGGCTTATATCATGCTTAGTAAAGCAGAGTTTCTCTTTCACTTTCCCAAGTTAGAGCATATTTGCTAAAAGTCTGGTTATTAAAATATTGGAAAATCACCTCTGAAATAAATTTGAGGCCAATAAGTATCAAACTACTAGAACTTTTGATCAGCAGAAAGTAACACTGAACCAATCTAAAACAGCACATTGAACAGATATAATATCAACATGAAAATGAACCACTTAACAGTGTAGTTAAGTTACACTGCCTTAGAGACTTAAATGTAACACATCTTGTCATTATTCTGAAAATGGAAAATAGTCTAGAGCTTGTAGTATTTAGATAATATCCTGGACCCTACTGGAGTCAGTAAGAGTGACAATAGAGACTTAGAAGTGTGTGGTGGAGTTGGAACAGGAAGCTAGGAAAAATAGTATCCTTTATCTTTACCCCCGCATAGCCTGTCACGTGGTTGGTACCACTGCAGAGTATGTGTGTATGCATATGTCAGTATGCTCAATACTGGGTAACTGAAAGTATCAGTGCTGATTTCCATCTTGGCTCCACAGATACAGGTGGAAACCCGAAAACAGAGTATTGTATGGGAGTTTGAGAAATACCAGCGATTACTGGAGAAAAAGCAGCCACCACATCGGCAGCTGGAGGCAGAGGTAACAGCAGCTCTGGCCAGCCTACAGCAGGAGGCGGCGGAGACCATGCAGAAACTGGAGTTGAACCATAGTGAGCTCATCCAGCAGAGCCGCGTCCTGTGGAGGATGATTGCGGAGTTGAAAGAGAGATCACAGAGGCCTGTCCGCTGGATGCTGCAGGTGAGTAGCAGGTTTTCCTGGTAACCCTGAGTGATAGCTGAAGATAGACTGAGACTCCAGGAAAGAGCATCCATTACTCTTCAGTAGGGACTGCCAGCACTCTGCCAGCTGATCATGGATCCTGTGTTTCCCCAGCGAATACCTGCTGTTTCCCTCTCTCTGGCTGGTGGATGACCTGGTCTGTTGTAGTGTCATAGGTGGGACAGTGCTCAGGCAGCTCTGGCATCATTCTAGGCCCTCTCCTCTAGCCCAAGAGTCTTGAGATGGAGCCTGAAGTTGGCCAGTTCAGCCAAAGCTCAGCCTGCTCTTCCATCCTTCCATACGCTTCTCCTTACCTCTGCATGGCATCTCTCCATTCTTGGTACCTGTCTCCCTTCCCGTAGAGAAACTCCCTGCCAGTTTGATGTCTGTTCCCTCCAAGGAATAGCACATACTCAGGTGTTGCATTTTTTTCTCCTCCTAGGATATTCAGGAAGTGTTAAACAGGTATGTTCTCACCCTTGGAGCCTCTAAGCAGCCCCGTAGGGGATAGTGGGGCCTGGCTGGAGCCAGAAGTAGGGACAGAGCACAGACTCGATGCACACAGAAAAGCAGGTGCTGGTCCACAGTCTCGTCCCACTTACATGGTAATGGCTAAGGAATCTTTGTTGATCTTTCCTTTTTCTTCTTTGTACTTTATCAAATGTATATCAAGTGAAGCTATAAAATATGTGGTTTCAAGCTGATTGCTCAAAGAGGAAAAAAGACTGCCCATGACTCCTTCATGTCCAGCAGAAAATATGTGCACTTCTTCCTCTCCCAGAATCAAATATACATCCAAACCTTCCCATAGCATGAGCATGCGGGTGTTCTCACCTCTGCACACCAACAGCTTGAGGCTCAGCCAAATAACCATAACCATCATGTCTCTGCTTTGCTGGGGTGGGGCACTTCACTACGTCCCTGGCCAAGCCCCTCTTCCCTGTACTAAGATAAGGCCCATGTGGCAAAGCCAGGACTCCTGGCCCTGAGGTTCACCCTCCTCTACCAGGAGCAAATCTTGGAGCTTGCAGCGGCCAGAACCAATCTCCCTGGAGCTGAAGACAGATTGCCGTGTGCTGGGGCTAAGAGAGATCCTGAAGACCTATGCAGGTAATGGATCCTGGGGGAAACTGTAGTGGACAGTTGGAGGGACCCCTCCCAGAGAAAGAAAATGGTTCAGTGCCCTCTGGGTGCTCCATCCAGACTCACCCACTCATTATTGAGAAATCTGTGGCTGAATTTATCAGACAGCCCTCACCCATGCCCCCTGACCCTATATCACTGTTACCAACCAGGACCTTTTTTTCTAGCTGATGTGCACCTGGATCCAGATACTGCTTACTCCCGTCTCATCGTGTCTGAAGACAGAAAACGTGTACACTATGGAGACACCAACCAGAAACTGCCAGACAATCCTGAGAGATTTTACCGCTATAATATTGTCCTGGGAAGCCAGTGCATCTCCTCAGGCCGGCACTACTGGGAGGTGGAGGTGGGAGACAGGTCTGAGTGGGGCCTGGGAGTATGTAAGCAAAATGTAGACCGGAAGGAGGTGGTCTACTTATCCCCCCACTATGGATTTTGGGTGATAAGGCTGAGGAAGGGAAATGAGTACCGAGCAGGCACCGATGAGTACCCCCTCCTGTCCTTGCCAGTCCCTCCTCGCCGGGTGGGAATTTTCGTGGATTATGAGGCCCATGACATTTCCTTCTACAATGTGACTGACTATGGCTCCCACATCTTCACTTTCCCCCGCTATCCCTTCCCTGGGCGCCTCCTGCCCTATTTTAGTCCTTGCTACAGCATTGGAACCAACAATACTGCTCCTCTGGCCATCTGCTCCCTGGATGGGGAGGACTAAGAGAGCTATCATCCTAACCAGAGAGTCCTTGGAATTGGGCCTGGCCCCCATGGGGCTTGGAGGACCCAGCCACTGACAGGTATCCCCTGAAACTGACGTGAGCTCAGAATCCAAGGATTCCTCTGTCTGATCCTTTGGTCATTGCTACCAGGCTAAAGTCTGTCATGAAACCACTTATTTTAAAAAGCAGAGGCCCAGTCAAATGAGCACTGCACCCCATGAGGAAAGCGTGACAGGGCTGATGGTGAGGATCAGAGCAGTTCTAAGGTGACTTGTTGGGGTAAGGATCAGGACTTTGTCCGTGGAGTAGCCAACGCCCCTCTTCCCTGATTCCTGTCCGGTGTCACAGTTAAGTCAGTGAGGATGATGAAGTAGACACAATCTTCAGGACACTATTAGATAGGCTTTCCCAATAGGCCAAAAAAATGCTGCCCATACCCAGAGCTGGTTGTTGTGCTGAGGCCAGTCAGAGGATGCTTCCCCTGAGGTTTGCTACAACTAAGCAAACTTTATGTGACCCTCACCCTCTTACCACCTGGCAAGAGAAATTCAGTGCAGCAGGGGGACACCGACCCACCCAAGCCACCCCACTGCCGTTCCCTCTCTGAGCACAACCTGGGCAAATCACTGTCCCTTGGACTCCTGGGAGACCAGTGTCCTAGTCCTGCTTTTTTTCTCTAAGTGGCAGGATCAGAAAACCTGTGAGCCTTAGTTTGTATTTTCACTTTATGAATGAGGAAACTGAAATGACCTTAATGGAGCAAGTTATTTCTTTTTTTTTTTTTTTTTTTTTTTTTTTTGAGATGGAGTGTCACTCTGTCACCCAGGCTGGAGTGCAGTGGCACAATCTCAGCTCACTGCCAGCTCCACCCCCTGGGTTCATGCCATTCTCCTGCCTCAGGCTCCCAAGTAGCTGGGACTACAGCAGGCACCCACCACCACACCTGGCTCATTGTTTTGTATTTTTAGTAGAGACGGGGTTTTACCATGTTAGCCAGGATAGTCTCGATCTCCTGACCTCGTGATCTGCCCACCTCGGCCTCCCAAAGTGCTGGGATTACAGGCATGAGCCACCATGCCTGGCCGCTGGAGCAAGTTATTTCTTACAAAGCTGCTGAAGATAAGATTATAAAAATTATAAAGCATTTTTCACACTCATATGAAACAAGGTTGACAAACTCACTTCACAGGTCACATGCCTGTACATCATTTATTATATTTGGGTCTGAAACTTCTCACATGTTTGGAAGGTTTTATATGTCCTCACTGGGAAAATGGGTGTAATTCAGCATAAAACCTCATATTATTGTCCTGCCTCATGGAACTGTTGTATAGATCCCAGATCCATCCCATGCATTTGTTCCGTCTGAGGCACAGAGGCAGGCAAGCCACAGATTTTGCACGTGGTGACCTTGCCACTATGCCACGATACAGCCCACATCTTATAGCAATGCCTTTGTCTCAGGGCCTCTCCTGACAGTCTAGAGCCTTTCAGGCAGAAAGGTGCTTCAAATGGCTGTGATAAGGAATACTAAAAATTGTGTTTCTACTTTAATTGTATTATATTGGCTGTTCACGTATGTAGGAGTTAATACAGGCCAAACCTGGAGAAATAAACTCATTCTGCCCACCATGCTTCCAGGCTGCATCTTGAGAATTAGCAGTAGAAGGGGAGAAGTTTCCATCATCTGCTTGGAGGGGAATGAGCTGGTGAGTCACAGACCCTGGTGCTGGCAAAGGGTTGAGCCTGCCGCCATTAGAGAAGCATCTTTGTCGGGGGATTCCCTGGGGATAATTGAGAAGTAGGTCCCTAGGAAGGACTTCAGTTAATGTCTGTGGACACTTGGCACAAAAGGGTTAAGGAAAAATCAATGTTGTTCTTTCGCTATTAGGACAAATCTTGGAAGTTTCCTAGAAACAGAGGATTGTTAGGTGATGAATTCATTCAAACTTAGAATGAAGGAAGGAATGAAATGGCATCATTGGTAATGTACTCTTTTAGGTTAGTTTGATTGTTTTTTACATTTATAAGCCTGTTTGGGTACTCTGATTACTTGTTAGAAGAGTTGTAAGGTTAAATAATCCACATTATTACAGATTGTCTGACTTTTAAGACCAGACAAGAAGATTGAAGCTCTAAGTGCCTGAAAACCGTTTTCTACAGAGTAGAAAAAAAAAATGAGAATGAAACATAGACCTGGTAGGGCAAGCTTCCTGATGGAAATGCTGGGAAGAAATTAGTGTCTGGGGTGCAGGCTGGACTGTACCTTTGTTGCTTTATATTAGATTCTTTAATGCATCCAGTATGCTTTCATTTAATGGACCTAGCCAATTTTTCAGGTTACTTATGGAGAAAGAATAATGTGACATTTCAAAATGAAAATCTTACCAAATGTGTTTAACAACCTTATAATCTTATAATCCTTTTTTTTTTTTTTAACGTTATAACCTTATAATCTTGTTTTGTTTTTATGGTAGGGGGTTGTGAGGGAAAAAAGTTTCACTTTACTACCCTTTGGGACCTCAGTGCATCATTATCAGATTTTTAAGAGGTTGATTTCTACTCTGCTGGTATTCAAAAATTGAATACATTCTTGGCAGGTAAACAAGTCTAATATTAGCAAAAGGTATGGATGTTAAGTTACTAAGGAGCTTGTCTATTTGAAAGAATTGTCATATGAGTACTGGTCTGTATAGGACTACTCCCTTGAAATTATGGAATTAGAAATGTATTGGGCGTATTTTTAAGTTCATACAATATGTCAGAGATTGTGTTATCTGCTTTCCATGTGTTATTTAATTTTTAATACTCTGAATTAATGTTGTTTTCTCTATCAATAGACAGGAAGTGTTAAGACTCAGGTATAGTAACTTGCCGTCAACAGATTCTTCTCACACTGTGAATTTTAACACTAGTAGGAAATTATCTTTTTATTAAGATTTTCAAATGTACATATCTCTTATATATGAGATCTTTTTCTTTTAACATATACTGATTACTCAGTTCAAGATTTTCTGAAAGGGAAAAAAACCAAAAATCATGTAAGCATCCAGTAACCTGAAGAAGAGTGCTTACATTTCAACTTCTTTATCTATATTGTTCTCTATTAACCTCTTCATCCCAGAGCACACCCCCTGAGAGGTGCCCACAAGAAGAAAGACCTGTGTATATTTAATCCCTCTCTTCTATGCCTTAAGGTTAAGTTATACAAATGGGGACTAGGAAGCAACAAGAAAGATTTCCAAAACCAAACTTGTATTAACTTGCCTTCTGTTGCTTAAAAACAAAAAGCTGGTAATTGGTATACTAACTCCAACTAGCTTAACAATAGGATATACATTTAAAAGTTAAGTGGTATTTTATAGAACATAACAGTATACCTGGGTGTCCAAAGTGATTTGGAATCAGAGAACCAAAGACTTATTCTCTTCATCCATTCTTGGAGATTGGCCTTTGATGCATGGGCCAATCCCAATTTTCTCCTTCCAGTTTATGTGTTGTAGAATTACCACCATCTCTGATCCCAAGTTTATATCTCCCTAGATGAACAGTAAACCATATGGCTTGGGAAGGACCCTGGTCTAGGTGTGAACATAGAACCCAAATGGAGTGAGATCAGTATTGGGCCAGAGGGCAGGGTCATATATTAATAGCTTCTTCCATGTAATCACTTGGAGAAAAGAACAGTTCTGAGAATATCAGTCAGGTTTCGGGGGAGATACCAAACACTTGGTTTCTTCAGCAGAGGGGATGGTAGGATAGTAGGCAGGAAATATGGGTCAGAAGCTGTAGAAGGAAAAATTCCAGAGCTGTATTCTATACCAAACTTACTCTGATTCAGACACTATTGTATTAACCCATTAAAAATGTCAGAAAATTAGAAACATTTCATTCATATTCTTGGTAGAAATTTAAAAGTGACACAAAGATATCCTTTACAGCTTCATCTTAGAATTCCTTATAGTACCAGGTAAACCAATCCCGCTCCACAAATCTCTAAGGCATCTTTGAAGGTGGCTGGAATGCTCCAGATCCGAACAGATATTGTGTTCATGAACCCAGGTTGGAGTGGTCAAAGAGGAAGTGCATCAGATAACTCCATATTCTCTCCCACAATTGTTTGGTCCTCATGCCATAGATGATGGGATTTAAGGTGGCGGAGGTGATCATGTACAGGGCAGCCAGCAGCACCTGGGTGTGCAAGGGCACTACATCCTGCCCCAGCCAGGCCGCATAGACGGATGCCATCCCAGGTAGATAGTACAAAGCCATTACCCCCACGTGGGAGCCACATGTGCTTAATGCTTTCAACTGAGCTGTCTTTGAGGAGAGACCAAATACTGCCCTGAGAATTAAGATATAGGAGGCAGCAATGAAGACCACATCAGAGCCCACCATAATAGAGGAACCAATCAGACTATAGAGACTGCTGGGCATGGGGTCAGCACATGCTAACCTGGCCAAAGCTATGTGCTCACAGTAGGAGTGGAGAACCACATTGGAGCCACAGAAAGGTAGATGACTCACCATCCAACTCAATGGAGTCATGAATGTGGCAGCTCTAATGGTGATGGTCAGACTCATTCCCAGCATCACTTGAGGTGTGAGAATTCTCTTGTAGTGTAGAGGCTTGCAGATGGCTACATAGCGGTCAAAAGCCATGGTTAGCAGCAGCCCTGTCTCCACAGCTGTGGCTAAGTGGACAAAAAACATCTGCGTGAAACAAGCATTAAAGCTGATGGAGCTGTCTCCTGAGCAGAAGATGCTCACCATCTTGGGTACCACCAAGGAGGCCATAACAATGTCCACAGCAGCCAGAACACACAGAAAGCAACACATGGGCTCATGTGGAGTGGAATCCATCCAGATTGCAGTCACAATGAGGGTGTTTCCTAACAGGGCTATGATGTACACGGCACTCAGTGAGATAGCCAGCCAAAGTTGTGAAGATTGCAGTCCTGGGATACCCACAAGGAGAAAGGAAGCAGGGTTTCCATTGTGTGGTTGTAGGCTGGACCCAGCATCACAAGTGAGACATTTTTCCCATTAATGCACAAATGATGTATGAGAAGAATGCAATCCTGTAAGATTTGTTGACACGTGTGGTGCTGGGAAAACCTAGGGATATTCTCAGCTTGGTGGTAATCTCAGGATCAAAAATGTGGCATCTGACAAAATTATCCTGTGCCACTTTTATCGTCCTTGATATTCTTCCCTTACAAATTTATATTCATTGTTCGTGGATCAGCTCATGGCTTACCTCCTTTGGAAAGCCTTTTCTGCTTTCTTCCTTCCCCAGTCCGTACCCTTTCATCTGAGCTTTCATGCAGTCTCCCATCATGACCTCAGAGAGACTAAATTGATCATTGTAATGCTCTCCCTAGACTTTATTGTATGCATTTAGGTGTATGTCTCTTGTTTATGATCTTATACAAAGGGTGTAATCCATAACTGAGGTCACAAGTCTATTAAAATAAGTCTATTAATATATATTTATTATGGTAAAGTTTCCACGGAATGAAGGATAAACAGAGAAATGAATCTGTCTTTCATCTCTGTATGCTCAGTTACTCATTGTTGTATGAACAAAAGCTTCCTGAGGTCAAACATATCATATTTTTTATCCTTGGCGCAGTGCCTATAAAAAAATATGAAAGAAGTATCCTTGTGGTGAAAGAAATACATGAATGACTTGGGAAAAATAAGATCATTAGAGAACAACAAAATCACCTTCCATAGGAGATAATAAAGTACCTGGAAATATTTATAATCCTTACCTTCTCTAAACTTTGCCCTGAATATCCTATTTACTTAGGTTCAATTAACAGATTAAATTAGTACAAACAAAACCTTGGGACTACCTTATAGATGAACTTTCCCCAATAAGCTTTTATGATTTTTCAGTGCAGCTAACTCTTTTTTCATGATAAACTACCAAGTCATTCCAGGCAACAAGGAAGCTTTATCCTTTAGAAAGTTAAGCACTTTATTATGAACATAGTATGTGACAGTACTATGTTAAAAAGCATAGTATTCATAATGTGAGTGTATTCCTCCATTTTTAAAATAGATCAAACATCCATTCCATACAACACAGTTTGTATAACTTAAATGTGATTAAATATTCTAGCCAAGATCATGTAGTGTGTGATAAGTTTGGGGTTTAAGCTGTAACTCCCAGGTGTCCATCCAGCCCAACGTGGATAGTGAAGAAGACAACTGTGGATAAAACAAGGTTAGGGGTTTCACTTGGCCAGGTTTGATGAGACAAAGATAGCTACTGCTATGCACAGCCTGCAGCTGAGGTACACCACTTGTTGATCTCTGTTTATTGCTGCATTCACCATCCATTGCCTCTGTCAGGTGTTACCATATCATACAATGTGTAATAATCTGGCTGGAGAACCTAAAATAGAAGTAGTCAGCCTAAACTACCATTACAGTCCTATGTGGTAGCCCTTTAGTTACTTTCTCCATAGGATGATTGGTTTCCATGATTTCATATGGTGTTTGGTCATGGACACATTTTCCCAGCCATGTGAGAATATTCTTTGCAAGGGTTGCTGCTTCTTATGGTGGTAACATTCAGCTTTGGGAGACAGTGGCTGATCTTCTTCATGGAACCCCTAGGTTTTTTTCTTCAGAATACAGCCTACAAATCCTGCATAGTTTCATGTACCACACTCAAAATGTGGTACTGTTCCTACATCATCAAGAGGCAAAAAGCACTGGTTCTAGATTCATACCTCTAGACCTAAAAATCCACTCTGTCACTTGCTAGCCACTTTGCCTTAGTCAAATTATGTAAACACACCAAGCCCCAGTTTCTTCATCCATAAAATGGAGGTAACAGTACTTACAGCATAGAGATATTTTGAGACTTAAGTGATAAGCTTTGTAAAAGTGCTCAGCGTGATGCTTGGTGCTTTGGTGCTCAATAAAATGTAGCTAATATAAAATGAACCGGTTTTCCCTGCATAAATCCCATACTTTTAGATTGCTCCAAGTAGCATCCTTAAATGAGAGTGTGTGACTTGAAGACCACTATTAAAAAGTAAAAAGCCACTCAACCCACATTGCCTGAAGCTTTTCTCCTGTCCTCCCATAATTCACCGCTGAAGATGTCTCACCCACAGGCTATACACAGCAAGATTCTTCTAATTGGACTATGATGAGGAGCTCACTGTCTGTCCCATTATAGATCAGGTCTCAAGGTTAGAATTTTTTTTGTTTGCTAGTTTGCTAATTTTTTTTTCTTTCTTCATCACACCTGTGACAACATCTTCCTTACTTTTGCCTACAACCCCTCTTTAATAAGAAAGCCTAAGAATGGCTCCACTTCTGCTGTCATATAACAAGTCTTGCCAAACTGAATTCAGATTAAGGATGGAGCAGAGGCAGGTATGACAAATATTTCTTTTTCAGTCTAAATTGCTACTTCAACTCTTTTTCCTATTGCCATTGGATCATTTTGCTTCCAGAGAAATGGACATGTAGGTTGGTCACAGACCTGAACTCTGGATGCCAAGAATGGACTAGAATATGTTAAGGACATGTGATCTCTTTTTCAAACCCTCATGGTTCTAATTTATATATCTCAAGGCCTCAGCCTAGTAGTTCACCACATCAATTGCGTGATTTGTGTTGACGTAACAGTAGTCCTATATAGCCCAAGAACTGTCTTAGGTGTTCAGGCACTCTTAAATGATGTGTGCTTATTTGCCAAACCTCAAGACTAGCTTGCTTTATCTATTACTTCCTGTGCCTCTCCTGAACAAAGGGTTTCCATAGTAGGAAGCTGCCATTGTATACTGTCTCTAGTTTCCCCTTTTTATACAAGCTACCTTTGTATACTGTCTCTAGTTTCCCCTTTTTAAGTTCTCATCAGGGGCATCAGTTTTGCCGGAGTGATGAGGTAGATCAGATTAATGGAATTCTATGCTCAGAATCCCATCTACTGCAGTAGACATTTTCCCTGTTAAACGAGCACTAGAGGAACGTTTACCAGGTTCTCAATCCTAACCAAAAGACATATGCTTGCCCCTTCAATTAACCTTCTAGAAAGCCTAGCACTGATTGACTCCACACCCAGGTGCCAACAATAGCTGTGATGGGAGTCCTCAGTTGTTTTCTAAAAAGCCAAATTTCTGGGACATGATTACACTCTGTGGTCTGTGTAAAAGAAATAAACCTACAACAAGAAGAAAATCCCTGAGTTTAAGAAATGCTATTTCATGGAACAGATTGAATAGAGTTGTGAGCTCCACATCACAGTCAGTTTATAGGGGCTTACTGTAAACTGCTGGGACACTGGGTGAGACATCTGAAGTGATGGGTCACAAGAAGATTAGGGAAAGCTTTTGAAGTAGAATGGTAGTAAAGAGTGAAAGAAAATTTAGGATATGCTTGAAACTACCGCATGTGTTGTGGATGCCACAAACTCAGGCTTATGCATTATTGCATAAAGGGCTGCAGAAAGCTTGGGGATCCAAACAGCCTCTTCCCCACTCACCTTTGATGCAGGATATTCCTCCCCTGGCTGCCCTGTGTAAATTCACCTTTCTTCAGGAGGCAGCCTCAGCTGATGCTTGCCTCAATCCTCCAGCCCTGGAAACTAACTGGGCATACCTTTCATGCCCTCGAGAGTGTTTTTTTTTTTTTTTTCATTTTTCATTTACTTTTCTTCTTAATTAGCACTGCTGGAGATTTAATTGTTGGTAATCTTTTCAAAGAAAAGGATATTTGATTTTGTTGGCTGTTTCTTTTTAAAATGTTTATTTTACTCAATGTATTGATACTGAAAATTTCTTGGCGAAGATCAAATGTCATCTCCATTAAGGATCTGTTGCCAATCCAGTGACTCTTTTTCTTTCTGTTTTACCAA